CCCCCCCCCCCCCGCGGTGAGACACAAGCCCTCCCCCACCCCAAGCTGTTTGGCAGGGGGAGCCCCCTCGCACTCTGCTCTCCCAGCCACTGCTCCCTGTCCAGCTGAAAGGGGGCCCTGACCTCTCTCTCTGCCCCCCAGAACCAGCAGCTGCTGGGGGAGCGGGGCGGGGAGCACTCCCCCCTCGAGCACGACAGCCTGATGCAGTCGGACGAGGCGAGCGAGACCTCCCGCAAGCCCTGGGCGGCCGCCTCGCAGCGCAGCTCCCAGCCCCTGGAGGACGAGTACCCGGACCCCTACCCGGAGCTGTACCAGCCCCACCGGCACCACAACAGCGGCCTGCACAGCGCCAACGGGCACGACTCGCAGGACCGGCTCCTGCAGCGTGAGGCCGAGCAGACCCACAACGACAGGAACTGGCAACGCAACCGGCCCTGGGCCAAGGACAGCTACTGACGGGCCCCGGCCTCAGCCACCCCCCTCCCCGCTGTCAAACCAGCCCCATGGGCCCACGGAGCCTGGCCTCCCGGCCACAGCCCTGGCTGACCCGCCCCAGCCTTCCCCCAAACACAGCCCCCCAGGTAGCTGGTGGGGTCACACACTCCCTGCTGTACCTAACTGGGGGGGAGGAAAAGCCATCTGTCCTCAGGCCCCCTGCCCCTGCTAGGCATTGCTCAGACAATCTCCCAGGCGGGAACCCCCCGGTCCCCGCGCTGTTCCCACCCTGTCCAGCTGCAAGAGGAGAGGTCGGGAGCCAGGACACCTGGGTTCTAAGCACTGGCTGGCCCCTGCTCCAGGTCTGTTTCCCTGGTTGAAACTGCATAGCTGGCAGTGCTTGCTCCAAGCCCCTCCGGCCCCCTTGCCCTCTTCCGTGGGGCTGGGCTCGGCTCCCTGGGGCAGGGCCTGGGAGTCCAGCTAACAGGGCACAATTTGCTAAGTGAAAACCCCCCAGGGGAGGGTGAGGAGCCTGGATGCTGCCCCCCTCTTTCAGTGGGGCTCAGCCCTGATTCCTCCTCAGTCTGCGCCCAACATCCAGCGGCCCAGCCCCACCGCCCACACCCGTAACCACTAGCATCCAGCCACGACGCAGAGAAGCTTGTACGTAGTGCACCCCACCGCCCTGCGCTGGCTGGACTGGGCACTGGGCGCCCGAGGGGGGCAGAGGGAGATTTCCCCCCTGGCTGGGGGAGCTGGGGCGAGCCCTCGGGGGGCTGGGAACCACAGAGCGGCCACGGATTTGTTACAGCTCTTGTGTAGGAAGCACTTACTGCCAACAACCTGTAGCCTGTTTAACAAAGAAGTGTTTGCAGTTTAGAGATGGTGTTTGTGTGTCTGCCAGCCAGGGCTGGGCGCCAGAACCCCCCACCTGTGCTCACCAAGGGGGGGATAAGGGGCCAGGCGCCAGAAACCCCCAGCCTGTGCTCACCGAGGGGGGGGGGGACGACGACAAGGGGCAGGGTGCCAGACCCCCCAGCCTGTGCTCCCCGAGGGGGAAACAAGGACTGTTTCCAACCCCCACCCCCCAAACCCATGTGGGGTAAAGCTCTTTGCAGATGGCCCTGGCAGCACAGGGGGTCCCATTCAAGCATCCAGCAGCTCCCCCAACTTCTATGGGCTCTGTGGGTCGGAGGGCATGGTGGGGGTCCAAGCAGGCAGAGGTGGAGAACACAGGCCTGGCTCTTCCCTGGCACCCCTCCAGCTGCAAGGGGAAGGGGGGGGGGAGGCAAGGCCAGTGTCCTGCGCACACAGACGCTCTCGGCAGCTTTATTCCTGCTTTTCGCTTCAAATTCAACAAGAATTTATACGTAAAAAAGGGCCCAAGCGCCATGTCCCACGGGAACACAGGAACCCGCCCCCCCCAAATGAGACCACCCCCTCCCCCCAAAAAGACAGCAGGTACCAGCAGAAGCTCCTGGGAGCTAGTAGGGGGCAGATCACACCCCCCTCCCCCCGCCACTGTCCACATCTCAGGTGGAAAGGGTTTGGCTTAACCCCTTAAAACCAGTGGGTGGAGGGCTCTGCCCCTCGGGGCCAGGGTCCCCCCTGGGGCTCAGCCGCGCGAGTTGAGGCTACAGGCTGGAGGAGCTGGCTGGTCGCTGCACAGGGCCCAGCCCCTGACACTCTTCCTGGGAGTCAGGAGTGTCCCGTGCGTGGATTTGATGGGGATCAGGAGCCAGGCACAGCCCCACCCCGCGGGGTACAGCCAGTCTAGTTTGGTCCCAGGTGTGCTCCTGGCAAGCACTGCCCTCGCTGGAGCACCAGGACCCAGCCTGAGGGGCCTGGCTCCGGATCCAGGCTCCGGTTAAAGCTCAGGCCTGGGACCACAAGGACAGAGTTGCTGCCCCAAACGGGGGCTCTTCCTCCATCAGTCCCGCCTCGACTGAGGGGCTGGGGGCGGCAGATGACCTGCAGAGCTCCCCGCTGAAGGGGGAGGCTGGTTACAAAGGCCAGGCAGCCCCAAGTCTGCTGGCTGGTAGTAGACGGCAACTAGGCAGCCAGGCCCCAGCTGTCCAAGCCCCGCGGCTCCCTGGGACTCACGCAAAGATGGTCTCCTCCCGTCTCTTCTTGGTGAGGATGGTGCCCGGCTTGTGCTGGGCATCGGGGTGGTTAGCCAGCTCCGGGGGACACGACGACACCGGGCTCTCCAGGATGGCTTGCTTCAGGTCGTAGAAGACTGTGGAGTCCTCCTTGGTCAGGAAGGTGATGGCCACTCCGCTCTTGCCGGCTCGGCCCGTGCGGCCAATACGGTGGATGTAATCTGCAGAGAAGCACCGCGGTCAGATGGTGATTTGCCACTGAAATGCAGCCACCTCTGGGGTGGGCCATGGCAGCGGCACAGCAGCAGCTTAGCCAACTGTTGGAATTCAGGCAGGATGTCAGGATTCATCAATTGCCCTGGGATCTTTAACGACCCCCTGGTTTGTCTCCTCTGAAAGCTGGTGCATGCAGCAGCAGAGTGCCCCTACCATGGGGCAGGGTCAGCCCTGAGCCCCCCACCCTGCAGCTTCCTGTCTTTTCCCTGGTCGTTGCCCAGCGAAGTGGTGAGCCAGGCCGACCGCGCTTAGCGGTGGGGAGAGGGGTCTGCGCAGTGGGGCCGGGGAAGCCTCTCTCGAGGCCAGCCCTGCTCCCACGGCCGGGACTCACCTTCGATGTTCTTGGCCATGTCGTAGTTCACCACCATGGAGACGTCCTGGATGTCGATACCGCGCCCAGCCACATCCGTGGCTACCAGAATGTCCTTGGCACCGGCCTTCAGGTTGGAGAGGGCGAATTCTCGCTGCTCCTGGCCTTTGCCGCCGTGCAGGGTGCAGGCGTTGTACTGCGGGGGGAGAGGGGAGACCGTAGTGCAGGGCTGGGGCGGGAGCTGACCGCAGGGCCGCCCACAGCTCAGCATGGGGCCAGCTGGAGGGAGGTGAGGGCCTGGGAAATGGGGTGGATCACACAGTTCCTGTCAGGGTGCACTCAACAGCCCCTGGGCTTGGAGCCTGCCAGCTGATGGCTTGTCTGCAGGGCAGTGGGGGAAGGGGCTGGATGCAGAATCGGGCAGTACTAAGGAATGGGCGCCCTTCCCCCCGCAGCCCCCCCAGAGGCCCCAGGCTGGCGAGGCAGATCCTGGCACATGGGGCTCTGCAGAGGGAGGCGGGAGGCGCCCCACAGGCTGGATGTGACTCCGGCAGTATCCTCCCACAGGGGGGCAGTAACTCACAGCGAGTTCAAGCGACCAGGCCAAGCCGCCAGCAGCAGGAACCCCTGAGCCCTAGAGGGCTGGTCAGGCCTAGTTCTGAGTTCTGACCCAGACCCAACATCACCTGGGTCGACTCGACCCCTCCCCTCTGAACCCAAGTCACTGCCGCCGCCTCCTGCCCACGGGTTGGCACAGCAGCAGCAGCTGCGTACCCAGCCCCTGCCATCCGCTGCCCCGTGGTGCTGTGCACGCTCACGCCAGGGCGCACGCAGCCAGCCCCGCGGGCAGCAGGAGACCCCGCTGACCTGAGGGGTCTGGCTGTTTTCCCACCGGACTTGAACGCTGCTCAGCGCACCCGACCCACGGAGCAGCACTGGGCTCCGCCAGACAGGCAGGGGCTGGGACTACCGGCTCCAGGGGAACGGGGGGCCCTAGAGCTGCTCAGCCCTGCCCTGGCCCTGCAGGGTGGACATGGACACTCCTCAGGGGCTGGCACGTACCCCCATCTTCTCCAGGGACTTAGCCAGCACGTCGCAGCCCTTCTTCTGGTTGACGAAGATGATGATGGGCGGGTCGAAGCCCTGCTCCAGTATGGCCAGCAGCTTCTTCCTGTTGGGGAGGGGCGGAGAGGGGTGTGTCAGCAAGCAGGACAAGCTCAGGCCCCCACAAGCCTCACCAGGCTGCCCTCCAAAGTGCCGCCCATTCCCTCACCGTGCTCCAGGACAGCCCCTGCCAGAGCCACCCCGTAGGAACCTGGTGGATTTCCTGACACCCTGCATTGCCCCCACCTGCAGCCCAGCTCCAGCGAGAGCCCCCCCCAGCAGCGGCCCCTGCCGGCCCACCCTCATACCTCTTCTCCCCCTCGGACATGAGGAAGACCTTCTGTTCCACGCGCTCGTGGGGCTTGCCGGCCGAGCCGATGTAGACCACGGCAGGGCGGCGCAGGTAGCTGCGGGCCAGGCGCTCCACCGCCGGGGGCATGGTGGCCGTGAACATCACAGTCTGCAAGAGAGGTCCCGTGAGTGCAGCAGCTCCCGGGGGCTACCCTGCTGCCCCTCCCTCCAGCCCGGTCCTGGGCAGCGAGGGGGTATGGGACCCAGCTAGGCAGGCCCAGGACACACTGGGACCCAGGGGAGAAAGGGCTGAATTGCTCCTCGACCGGCCTGTCTGTGCTCACCCAGCATCCACTTGGGGGTCCAGGACCTCGCCCCCCCACCAGGCTCCCAGCCCCATGTCTGCCCCCTCCCCTTGGCCCCAGCCTCCCTGGGGGTTGTGCTTGGCCGCAGTGTCTCCGCGGGCCCTGGCCCTCTCCCTGCTGACCTGTCTGTACTTGTGCTTGCCCGACTCGAAGTTGGCCAGCATCTTCTCCGGGTCCTCGGCCTCGTCGGTGTCGGGCTTCTGGTTGGTGACGGGCATGTGCTCCAGGATCTTCTGCACGTCGGGCTCGAAGCCCATGTCGATCATCCTGTCCGCCTCGTCCAGCACCACGTAGGTACAGCGGCTCAGCACCAGGTAGCGGTTCTCCAGCACATCAATGAGCCGCCCGGGCGTGGCGATGACAATCTGCAGGGAGTGGCAGGAGGGTCAGAGACCGCAAAGCCCAGCCCCTCACCCCCGCAGCCTCGGCACTCACCTCGCAGCCCATGCGCAGCCGGAAGCCCTGGTCCTCCCGGGAGATGCCCCCGATTACAGCCACCGTGCGGATACCCAGAGGCTTCCCAAACTTGATGGTCTCCTCCTCAATCTGCTGGGCCAGCTCACGGGTTGGGGCCAGGATGATGGCGTAGGGGCCCTGGTCTGACTCCTCGATCCTGCAGGCGACGGAGCACATGTGGGACCATTTCCCCCATGAGCCAACCTTTCCCACACCCTGGGAAGCCCCTCTTGTCCCCCAGGCCTCCGGCGTACCAGGGCCAGCCACCCCTCCTCTGCTCGGGGAAGGCAGAGCAGCCAGTCGGCCTCACCTGTCGATCTTGGGCAGCGTCGTGATCCACACCAGCAGTGGGATCAGGAAGGCGGCCGTCTTGCCACTGCCGGTCTCAGCCACGCCGATGATGTCGCGGTTCTGCAGGCCAATGGGGATGGCCTGGCGCTGGATGGGGGTGGGCTCCTGGATGGACGGAGAACAGAGACGCTTAGGAAGGAGAAGGACCCCTGTGCCCAAGTCTGGCTTCACCAAGGAGAGATCAGGGGGCTGAGAATTGAATCCAGGAGTCCCGGCTCCCTGTTCGCACTCCCCGCCCCCACCAGAGACAAGAGTCCCAGGTCCGGACCCAGCTCCCACCACAAGAGCCTAGTTCGGATCTGGATTCCCACCCGCAAAGGGCCAGTCACCCCTTGTCCCAGGAGGCTGCGGGGCAGGTCCCGGTTCTCACCTTGTAGCCACACTTGTCTATCACCTCCAGGATGTGGGGGGGCAGGGAGGAGTCCTTCCAGGAGCGGATGGGGTTGGGGATCTTGCCCCCCTTGGTGGTGATGCTGTAGTCCTCGCGGAAGATACGCCAGTCCCTGTCCGTCATCTCGTCCAGCTTCTTCTGGG